CCCCCCTATAACACTGTTGATTATTCCGTTTTATATGAATTCCATGTTGTACGAGTCACTTAGATTTTACAAATACGTGAGCCATTCATAGCCCGGCACACGTATTTGTAAAATCTAAGTGACTCGTACAACATGGAATTCATATAAAACGGAATAATCAACAGTGTTATAGGGGGGGTCGACTTGTACTTTTACATACTAATAAGTGGCTTTTAGATAGGTGTGTGTATAGAAACTATTGAAAAACTGATAAATTTTGGTAATTTTTAGAAAGTTTCTGTGACTTTTCTTGCATATTAGTGATTATTGAATAAAATTATCTGTTTTTAAATATTTATGCATACTTTTTCATACTGACAAATGTCTTCTGAAAAGACATAAGTATAGTAAAAATATATAAGAAAAATTGGTGAATTTTGATTATTTTTTCTATTGCTTTCGTTATTGGATGAAATAATATAAAAATATTGGAAGTTTGTTTTAGTTTTGTAGATATTTATGAACATTATTTTTTGAGATTAATGAGCGGCTTTTGCTTCTGGATACTCAAGAGAAGTATCAAAAAAACTGTTGCAAATTTTCATAAATTTAGTAAATTTTTTAGAATTTTTTGCATTTTCTAAATAATTTAATAAATTTTGTATGAGATTCAGTAGAAATATCCGAAGTTTTTATTTGTTTTGTTGAACATTTCTTTGATTAAAGAGTTGCAACCACCGCTTATTGTCGGATGTTCCATTCAACTTTTTGCAAACCTCTCTCTTGTAGGTTGACGAGTTAATTAAGTTATCGAGTTATAGATTACTTGAGGCGATGAAAACTCACTTTATTTTCGAGTAATTTATTTATTTTTTTTTAATAATTTTTTCCCTATTTTAGAAAGGTACAAATAAATCCTCCTGATGCGCTTACTTGTACACATTATTTTAACCATTCTGCCTCGAGTTATACAAACAAAAATTAATTGTTTACAGGCAGAAACAGGTTAAAAAATCAATACTAAAACTAAAATTCACCTATTTAGCCTGAATTTTTTTTGTAAAAATTTAATAAAATCTTACACTAATCCAAAGAGTTTTCTTGTATCTACAAAGGGGGTGGTGGGTTCTCTCCTTCGACGAAGGTTTTGGACTATAAAATAAATGGAACATAAAATAAAAAATGCAAATTTAATTGTATATTTTTATATTTTTTTCAAAATAAATTGCAAAATAATAGAAAAGAAAATTACAAAATCCCTTTTAAAAATTGTAAAGAACAATAGAGTTTTCTCCATATACAAAATCCATCGATTAACGTTTAATGATGTAAGAATTTATAACTAAATTAACAAAATATGAGGGTCAAAGTAAGTCTACAATATATATTATCCCCTTCCTCCCTTTTTCTATTCGTAGAGCATGACCAATTTCTGTCCCCAACACAAACCAGTACAAAATACTACAATTAAAGGCTAGGAAGTACTTGGAGCTATCGTTAATGGGAAATTAGGCATGACCAACTAAAACTGGTTCTTTTATTAAAGATTTTATAATAAATTTTATATAAAACTTATTAAATCTTATAAAAAACATAACGTAGAATCGTTATAAATGTATAAATTTAACAAATTTCTTTAAAAAATTTAATTATTTTATCTTAAAAATCTTACTAAATTTCAATCTCTGAATATCGGAGAGGATGAAGTTTTATGCTTAAAAATTAATTATATAAATTTAAATTTATAATTTAAGATATTAAAAAGTGTTAAAACTTATTAAAATTTATTAAAAAATTATTTTTTTAACGATCAAATTATTTAAAAAATTAAATATTCTTCCCGATCAGTAAGCGTTGATTCGAGTGATTACATGGCGTAACGACTGGACGTATTTAAAAAATAAATGTTTTTAAAGTAAATAAATTTAAATTTTTAAACTTTCCCGTTGATTTTTTTAAAAAATTTAAATGTTTTTTTAATAATTTAACTAAAAATTTTACTTAAAATTAATTTAAAATTATTATTTTTTTACGTTTAAAGTTAGTAACTCTGCTTATTGATCCGAAACGTATCCGCCATAAAAATAGTGTTATATAGGACTATATATATATATATAATGTTTCGGTATGCCTAGGCATAACAATATTGGTCGTAAGAGGCCTCTTTTGTTACATTTGTAGTAGTTTATCGTCTATAGAAAACCTTCAAAAATACTTTTTACGACTAGCAATTGAAGTGTCGAAGGTATTAATATAAACATCTGACCTCAACTTCAATGGGTTGCTGGAATTTTATGTCGGAAGGGCGGTGAGAGGAACATTGGGAGGAGCTACTGACCTGGCACGTGGACACTACCTAACAATATGTGCCTCTATAGTTACAATATGATATGTTATACTACTATAATAGTACAATCTGTGCTACTGGAATGCTTAATAATAATGTAATTAATGCTTCTTCTATTTTAAATTAATAAGAGAATATATATAGGCCTATAACAAATTTAATCTGTGCTTCTATAGTAACAATATGATGTATTATTATATTACAATCCCTACTGGAAGGCTCATTAATGATGTAATTATTGTCTCTTCTATGCAAGATTATTAATAATATAATCTATGCTAATATGATAATAAACTGAATTTATGCTTCTATAGTAACAATAATAAGATCTATGCTACTTGTAAGCCTGTTTATCTTATATTTAATACTTCCTCTGTAACATAATAATGTTTAAATACAAACAAATGCAATAATTTTTCTATAATAACAATAAATGCTATGCTTCTACATGGACAAAATTTTTACTATTAAATTAATATTTTTCTACATAAAATAATATAAATTCGTGATTTTATATAAATATTTTACGCTCCTATATTAATAAAGATATTCAAGATGATGCTGAGATCTTATGCTCATCTTGAGCTTCCTATATCATAGAATAAAATAAGCTTAAACAATATAAAAAAAACAGCATTTTTAAAGTAATTTTTGAAAATTTAATCTCTAAAATTTCTAAAAAAATCTGTAATTAGAAAAAAAAAATTAGAGAAATATTTTAAAAAATGATGTTGCGATTTCATCCTCATCTCGAGCTTCCTTTATCCTGGATAACTGACTTAAATCTTTCAAAAAAACATTATTTTTACCGAATATATTGGAAGTATTTTATTTTAATCTTTTTAAAGCATTTTACATTTAAAAAAAAAGCACTCAAATTCTTGGATTTTTAAAGAAATAAACCACAGATTATCGCTCTTTCTGATCTCATAACATCAATTTGTAAGTATTTTTATGCTATTTTTCAAAGAAAAAAACTTTACAGATCAACATAAATTTAAAAAAAAATTGTTTTATGAACTATAAACTTTTGTTTTTTTTTTTAAATTTTTTCTATAATAAAACGATCTTTTTAATTANTAAATAATGCTCGGATTCATATCCTGATGCTCGGGCATAAATATATGTATATTTATCTTTGAGCATCAGGATATAAATTCGAGTTAATGCCAAAATAATCCATAAAATTTTCTACAGTTCGAGAATAAAAAAGCTCATGTAAAAATCTATAAAATGACGTTATAGATGCTCGAAATTTATCAGAAAACCGGCATTTTCAATAAATTACTTCAAGTAACGACCACAAGAATCCATAAAATTTCTACTGTTTTGGAATAAAAAAAAAAAGAAAAAACGCATGTAAAGTCTATAAAATCGCATGAATATGCTGAAAATTTACATATAATTTGTAAATTCACATAAAAAATTGTACATTTTTGGGTAAATTACTTGAAGAATCCATAAAAGACTACAAGAATCCATAAAATTTCTACTGTTCTGGAATAAAGATAAAACGCATATAAATTTTGTAAAGTCACATGATTATGCTGGAAATACATGAAAAATTTATAAAATTATGTTATAAATATTAAAAATTTCACGAAAGATAAATGCATTTTCGAGTAAATTACTTGAAGCAACATACGAATCTTTCAAGAAGCGCATCAAGTTATGCAGAAACAATAACAATGTGTGAACTATCATCAACTTTCAAATTGTCTATATGCTCGAGTTGTTTAGATTTAAACACACAGGAAATATTTAACTTAAAAAAGAAATGAAGAAGAAGAAGAAAATGATTTAACGATGATAATTTTTCAAAAAATCTTCAATATAACAATACAAAAAAAAAAGAAAGAAAATTACGTCTAAATTTGGAAACTGTTAACAAAAATGGTAATGTAGGAAAGCAGCAAAATATATATTCGTGTTCACGATTTTGTTCAACGCACCCTGTCACGTGACTGAGTTTATGTGACCGAGTTTCCTGTAACCTGAAGTTTTTATCTATCAGAACTGCCTGTTACTGAATATGTCATGCTTCGATTTCCTCATTTCGTCCTAAAATCGCACTAAAAAATATATTTTCCTACCGGCTATGTTCGTTTTTTTTTTTGCATAGTTTTTATACATAGATAAACTCCCCCCTTCTGTTTAAATCCATTACTAAGTAGGAAATTAAGAGATGATCTTCTAAGTTTTCATTCAAACTTTACGGTGTAAAACGTAAAATTTTAATATTACTGTAAGGTGAAAGGTCACTCGAATGACCCACACTACTCCTGTGTTAGAAGTGACAGTTGTAGCGAACGTCATAAATGTCGAAGTGTCCATTGTTGTAACATTTCATCGAATGTCTTAAGATCGAAAATGGAAGGTATAGCGTAAAGTAAGGGTTTAGTTGGCAAGAAGAAGGTTAAAAATATTAAAAATAAAAAGACAATAAGATTCTTCCGAGAAATCGTCACCTCTGTAAAAGTATAAAAAAAACTACCATCCTGTCATTACTTCATTCAGGGAACAGTCAAAGGTCCCACAAATAGGAGTCATTACTCCATGCACAATTGAAAAGGGGAAGAATACTACATCCTGGCTCCTACTGTAGGGTGCACCTTCTTTTTTTTAAAAGGAAGTAGATAAATTTCGATACATATCATCTTCACTTTTTACACAATACGGCATAAGCAGTTTAAAAAAAAACTAGATGTTCTCCATAATTAAGCTAGTGACATAATAAACCAGTGAATAGCGAGTGGTTTGGTGAGCTGTCACGATGCAAGGCTGTCACGACACAATTGCTCCTGACAGATTGGCCAACTGGGTGTTCGCACGCGATGCCACATTCAAGTACAACACGCTTTCTGTTTTCGAACTCGATCAATCAATCAATCAAACCCAGTTTGTTTTTGCGGAATGGCATCAATCATGATCAATGAGAGTTTTATAGATCTAAGTGAGGCACCCGATAAAATTGCTGAAGGCCCTCTTTACAGAGAACATGTAGATCTTATACGAAGAAACCTAGACTAGATAGGTCTTAAATATAGAGATTGCAAAGCGTTTAAAGTGCTACTTACGCTTCTTCTTTGGTTCTTGCTCTATCATATTAGAAAGACCTTGATGAGGATTGGCTATGTCCACCAGAGTTAAACTTGATCCTCCCATGGACGTGGCGTATACCTCGTCCTGCATAATTCCTTCTCCCGCAGCCCAAAAAGGGTGATCCAAGCTGTCGAAGGAGACTCACACTTCACCAATAATGTCACAAGTATCCCAAGTCACACTCAGAAGACACCTGTATAGGAAAGAGCAAGGAAAAAAAAATTAATATGAGTTTTGTTGTGGTCACAAAAATGCGAGGGAGTGAAGCACGTTTTTTTAAGAATCCCTAATTGGCTTCGTGTTATTGGTTACCGAGCAATACTTTACTATTTCACTTGCGAAATAGCCAACAATAAAATTAGCCCATTGTTCTCAGATAAGACTTGTAATTCTGTGTAGATACTAAATGGCTCCACAAAACTTTCCATCTACCTTATTAAGTTTGAAAATTAACCTTAAAGCAATGCCTGATTGTTATTGTATTTGGTATCAGTTATCATAAGTAAAATCGATCATAATTCAAAAGTTATATGTCTTTGCTGCAAGAGCGTGAGTTATGATAAGTCTTAACAGTTTTTCTATATAACTTAAAAACTATTAAAGTTTTAGGTACCAAATTAAGAAGTTTTATTAAGGATTGATTACTTTTTGTCACCTTCAAATTTTGTTAAAATTAGACCAAATTTTGGCATTATAGAAGGCAAAATTCTTGAAGCACTGCGCTTCAGGATCTTGTAGACGGCGTGTAGGAAATGAACAGACATCAGTGTGTTAATTAGTCAGCTATGATCACGGGAGGGCCGGACCACTCGCGGTGGTTCCCACATGGACGGACCAACTAGGGGTCACGATGTGAATGACCCCGAGTGAAACCAGTCTTACGCAAAAATTACGTTAGAAACAACTTATTATTATTATTATTTTTTAAAATTTTACTTCATTTAGACGGGGGACCGTTGCCTACGCAAGAGGCCCTCTTTTTTAGGCAGATGAGATAAACAATGGTAATATATCTTGACCTATAATCCTTCGAAAGACGAAAGAATTAAGATGATGGCGTTCTACTTTACTTTTCTTTTGTTCTGACTCTAGAAGAAGCATTCTATAGTGAAACATAATTACATATTGGGGCCTTCTCCTCCCACTTTTTATATCATAACATCATCAGTTTATAACAATAGAAATTAATCTACACCTTTTTCTGTACGTATTAAGGTCATATAACTGAGCTTTGATCAAATTTTTAAAAATTTATACTCTTGCCAGGAGCCATGAAAACTTGGCACATTTTTTAATAATAAGTAAAGGGCCTCTCACACTTATAACAAAAGCTTCGTTTCTATGAATCGCAGCTGTAAAAACTGTTTTATTTGTACAGGGGAACGTTATAATATGTGATGCTATGTCAACAGGCAGCTTATCGAGTGGGATATATATTGAGAATAAACATGTATTACAACTTCCTAACCCAATTTAAATCCTTAGAAGTTGATTTAATGCCTTTAAAAGCCTGCTAGGCCCACTATTTTGTAAATAGAATTATATAAAATGCACGCTTACTGTTAAGCAACATGCTGAAATAGCGTTAAACTCTAAGGAGAGAACCACAGATTATAGCAAAAACTCTTAAAATTTATGCAAAATACACCACCTTATTCCCTATTCTTATAATGGAAAATTCATTAGAGATGAATCTCAGGTTAAAGATCAGATAATTAACATATATATTTACAAATATCCGCTACTTATAATGCTCCAATGATCCATTGAATGTAAGTATGTCAAAGTAAAAATGCTCAATCTATAGATTCATTGACAGACTACAACACTAAAGATCAGTCAGAGTATAACCTCTAGTTGAAGATTTACTGTATAAAAACTATGCCTACGACTTATTCATTATACAGCCTTAAGCTAAAGATACATTAATTATACAACTCCAAAGTGTCTGTAATTATATTAAGTCTACAGTAAAGATTAGTAGGCTGTAAAGTTTCAACAGTATATTAAATAGACGTTAATTCCTTTTCAGTATAGTTGTAAGAATTCAAGGATGTGTGTTTACAGTTAAGATCCATTGACATAAACTATTTACAGGTTAACTTTTGAGGCACGTTGTCTCATAATCTATAACTACAACCTGCAAGAAAGGTGATAATAATAATCCTTATACAAAAGACGATAAGGATCTTAACAAATACAACACCAGAAGTAGAATTATTAACGAAAAATTGACTTTACAAACTATATGTAAGCTTTTTTTCACGTGTAATTGAGATGAGACACGTAATATATTAATGTTATAAAGTTCAAAAAAGTTACCGCTTGCCTTCCGTTTATAAAAAGTCACCTTATAAATAATTAAAATTTAAAAAAGCTCACTTTCGTAAAGTAAACTCTCACTAATACTTCCATAGTAACAAAATGTCCACGTTGTAGACCTAACGTATCCGTGTCAGGTGAGTTGTATCTTCCATAGTCTAGCATACACACAATTAACACAACACTTGTCACTGATAATATTCCTATGGCACTGTCCGACTACGACTTACCTGTTAACATAGACGTACACATTCACAGTGTCTAGAGGTAGCAAGACTGAATTCACTCTACTAGCACATACCTGCCCCTCGATAGTACGAGCAGGTAATTGTTACCTGTACGGCAATTTGATTTGCCAAAACTCTTACTGACGTCACGTAGGTTGTGCCTCTGGTTTCGTCACGTGTGATGACGGGGGCGGAGTGCTTTGCTCGATGCCTCCGGATAGCGCGGTCCTCTTCACCCCACCACCTGTTGTAGACTCGTTTGTTGCTTAATTGTATCTGCGCCATTTTCTGTGATATTAAATGGCTCTTTATGCGTTACTCGGCCTAATTTATTGTCCGATGCCTAATAGGCTCTGTGTGGTGCTTTTCGAGGCTCGTGACTTGTTTAAGTTCATTTTAAATGCTTGAGTGTTTTCGGTACTTCTCCCCTTCTTTATTTCTTTCTTTTTAGTGAATAATTATGCTAAACGTTTGACGAAATGTAGAAAAATTGCTGTTTATAGTGTGATTTTTTTAGATAAGCACAGGCTTAAATTTTAGCTTTTCTATCGATGCCTTTAAAATTTAATTAAGTGTAGAGCCTTTATCCCTCAAAGTAACTACTTTATGAGCCTGAAAATGAATTTTTTTTATGCATGTAGCATTTCATTTCTCCGTTTAAGCTATTCGATTTCTTACTAACGTCTCAATCTACGCTATTAGAAGAGACGATTATGTAACCACCCGTTTAACCTTTCACCTTAAGTGAGTAACCAAAATTAATCAGACATTTAGCCTAGGAAACTTATCAAAGAATACGAAAATATAGATGTAAACACATAAGAACAACAGTAACAACCGGCTATAAAACCTAGATTAACATCAATTTTTTTCTCTTCTCACAGCATGAGTCATATTCATAAACTTTAAGCATTGGGATTATTGTAAAATTTAAAAGATTAAAAAATAAAAAAATGATTTTAGTATCGAAAAATCTATTTTTAAGATAAAAAGTAAAAAAGACACTGTCTAAAATTATTCAATAATTCATCTTTGGATGCCATAAAATAAAGATGTATGCAAAGAGGCCATTGAACTCTACGAAAAAAAATAAGAAAAGAGTTATGTTTGTCTTAAGATAGAAGGCTTTATTAGGGGGTGATGTGTTGTATACTTTTATGACTTTCGCCTATCTGCAAGAAAGCTATCCTGCTTGATATGACACCTTTCTGATATAATCTTACCCCTGAGGCAATATACTATTCCAGGTGTTAGAGGGGCCACGTTTAATTCTCTTAGCCTCCAGTTACAACGGTCGGTATTAAAATGCGTCCAGATGTTGACTGCAGGCTAGAAAGTAGCCTTTTTTATAATTTTTAAATTATTGACCTTCTTTTCTAACCGAAATATATTACTGTTTGTTTAGAAGTTCGCGTGTTAACGGGTCAAGTTAGTTTTGAACTCGATACGAAAGGGGATGATGATGATTGTAATTTCCTTCGATTTTTCTAAATGATTCCTTTTGTTTAATAACTTTTTAAAAAATTAAATAATTAAACTAGAATCTAATTCTTCGGTTTTAACCACGTTTTAACTCTTTTATCCAAAAATCACTAGTGTTTTAACATGGAAAAACACGGTATTTTGTTAATTTTGGAGTGTGTTGGCCAGGAAAATTCTATTCGATTTTCACCTGCGAGCTTTTATTTAAATGTAAACGGTGTTTCTGTAGAGTATAGATGTAGAATATATGCAAAAAAACTATGCAAAATCAATTTTTACATGGTCAACTTATACCACTCCTTTGATGTGCTAACGGTTATTCAAGTAGATAACTCCATTTTTAGAGGAAATTATTGTGTTTTTTTTTTTCATTTCCCTAAAAAAATTAATTTATCTTCATACAGAACCTTCATTTATTAACATTTTTTTTTTATAATTTGGGCACGTCACTTCTCAGAAACCAAGAAAAAAACTCTTGTTACTTTACTGAAGCACCTCATAATCAATGGTTCAAAATTTAATTTCTTTATTAAGGAATTATTTAATCTTTAGAAAAATAAGATCTTGATGGGTCTATATTTTATACAAAATTTTCTTATTATTAATAGCGTTGATATGTTAACAACTAGTAATTTTCTCGGAAAAATATACGAATTATTGAGTATTAAGAACAGTAATTAATTTAAATCCCGAGAAAAATGCAAATTGTAATTCATAGAAAACAATTGGCTACAATTCAAGGGAACTAACGAAAACTTTGAATCTAGAAAAGAACCATGAAATTAATTCCATTATGTTGATTGATATAAGATTTTCATTTAACTCGTTTCAAGTCAAGCGTTGATGGAGGTCAAATGCGATTTACCCCTATCTTACCCTTAAAATTTTTAAAAAATACCCCTTAAAAATCTTTCTCTCTTTCATTCTCTTATGCTTGACTTCATCTTAAAAGTCAAAATTAAGGAAAATTTTGTGATTTTTAATTGAATTTTAATTCCGAATTAGCATCTATACCACTTCCTTGCACATCTAGGTTTTGCCAAAATTCTTCTTCTTTTTCTTTTTTTTTTAATCATTGCACGTGGCCATGCGTGCAAACTATGGTTGGCCGTACCACGAGGTCGTGGGTTCGTGTTATGCTCTTTGATATATATATATTTTTTTTTTTTACATTCTCTCTCTCTCTATCTCTCTCTGTTTCTTCTGCTCTGGTGCTTCCACATCTTCTTTAAATTTATAAAGATTTAACTTATCGAAAAAGAAGAATCTCAATTTCTTATTTGCTCCGTATCACGATTCTGTAATTGGTTTTTACTTAATTTATGTCTCTTATTACTTGATTATTATGGTTATAGGGTCAAGCGAATCGTTTAGGTTTTCTAGACACTGCAGCTAATGAATAACATAGGATCTTGAGTATAATAGGATCTCTTCGGAAAATTGTCCTAAAAATCGCACCAAATTACAATTTTTATCGAGTCTAAAGAGGATTTTATTAAGTTTTAAGGTATCTTAATAAGTATTTTATATAATTACGAATAAGGCCTTTCTAGAAAGCTTAGAAAATCTAGGCCTTATATGTAACGTTATACATACTTTAGCTAAATTAAAATTAAGGCCTTTCTAAACACCTTAGAAAAAATGAGGCCTTATGAGATATGTTTAGAAGGGTTTTAAGTTTAATTTTTGTAAAGATTTATAAAGTTTAAACTTATTAAAATCCTAATTTTTTAATATTTATTCTGGAGCCTTATTGCGTGTCTTCTTTCTAGTATCTTTCTAGTACCTTTCTTAATCAAAGTTATTGTTAAAAATGCATTTATCTACATATTAGAATGTGAATAAACTAATATTTAACTTCATTTTGACGGAAATTCTAACAAGATTTAACACTTCACGGTCTAAAATGTCATAAACTTTGATTGATTTTATACGCTCTAAACTATGCATTTGATTCCTCCAGGCATTAAACTAGATAAAAAAAAATTCAATTTTAATTAATATTTTCTCTTTCTAAATCCAATATATAATAATTAAGAATTTTTGAAGACATTAAACTAGATTTTTAGTAGGTAATTTAGAAAATATTTTTGAATGTTCGAGCGTTAAAAAATTCTCTAAAAAAAAGTGTCCTAAAGGAAGTATTGGTTACAAATTATGTTTATTGTTTCCTCTTTGTTTTTTCAAATTTTTCAGCGAATACTTAAGATTTTCTATATATAGGATGATGAATTTAGAAAGAAAGAAGTCACGTTTCGTAAAATCTTGTAACAATCATCCTTCTGTAACTTAAATGAGCGAATATTTCCCTTAAAGTGTAGGTAACATTCTTCATCTATGTGATCTGAATCCCTAATCATCTTAATAATTGCCATCAACTTCCTTCGTTTTGTTTTTAATATATAATCAAATATTAAGCTATTTTAATGAGCTTTAAATATAAAATTCTTTATTTTAATTGTTTTTATACACTTTTTCAAGCGTTAATTCGAAAAAAAATTGTATTTTTCTGAAGGTTGCAATGCGTCGAAAGATAGCATCTTAATGACGTGTTGACACGTCAATGGGGTGAAAAAAATGTAGAAAAAGCATTAATTTACGCATTAAAATTGCTATTTTTTTAAACAATTAGATAAATTTATTTGATTTTATAGATTTTGCCAGTATTAATTCTAGAAAAATTGAAATTTTCTGAAAGCTGCAATGAGCGAGATGTAGACTCTTAATGGTATATCGTGGCTTCAATGAGACGAAAAATATGAAAAAAAAAAAAAAACATTTATTTATAATACTTTACCCGTCTTCAATTAAGTATTTGTGATATTCATCATTAAAATTACCCGAAAAGTTATTTTTAAATATCATTTCGAAGCTATTAACAATTGTCCTCCCCATCATTGCGATAAAGACTAATGGATTTTTAGAGGAATAAAATGATCATTTTATTTAAAAAAAACACGAGTTTTTCATTAAAAGTTCCTTAAAAATTTCATGTAAAATTAGTATTTCATAAATGAATGAACAAATATTCAAAAGAGCATTTTTTTAAAAGCAAGAATTTAACCAACGAGGAAGCTTCAAAGATGGAAGCTTAAGTTGAAATTAAAATGTTTTTATAACTTTACTAGGAATTAATATAAAAAGATCCATTTAAGAGAATTCATTTTGTAACTCCATTGTTATCCATTAAAAGCAATTATTGAGAAAGAGGTCTTAAACTTAACTTCCTTCTCTACCATTATCTTGTGGATGAACATCTCAGAATACCTTTGATAATACAATGAATACAAGTTGTTAATCTTTAAATAAGGGAAGTGTAGATCGACAGTTACCCTTTTTATATTATTATTTCACTTTTAAACTTTAAAAAAAAAAAAAAACATAATAAAAATGTTTCGGATGATGATTTCCAGTTAAAATCATTAGTTTCTTCGAGCTAAATCCCTATTATCATGTTTTAAGAATAGGGAATTGCACGTTTCTTAATGTTCTCATCGTTTTAAGGAAGTGAGAATATATCAAGTGGTACCTATACAATTTAGGTTTACGTATCTAGCTAATGTACACGAAGAAAATTGGTTTTTTTATGAGCATTTTTTTAATATTGATGATGGATGATTCTTGCTTATGGATACGTACGGGAGAGGTAAGAAAATGTTAGAAAATTGATAAATTTTGATAATTTTTAGAAAGTTTCTGTGACTTTTCTTGTTTATTAGTGATTATTGGATGATATTATCTATA